AAAAAAAAAAAAAAAAAAAAAAAAAAAAAAAAAAAAAAAAAAAAAAAAAAAAAAAAAAAACCTAAGACTCTTGTACCAAATAATAAAGAATCAATGAAGAGAAAATTTTGATACGAAATCTTAAGAACTCACGGAAGAAGTAAGATTGGGATTACTTTTTTATCAAATATTGGAAGAAAATAACATTTTTTTTTTTTTTTTTGTTCAAATCACTCCATAAAGTAAGATTGATCATATCAAACTTCAATGATTTTAAGCCTGCAATCTAAACGGCATAGAATTGCAAATAAACTTAGCCCTTCAAGAAAAGAAAGCACAAATATTTTTTACTCCATGTTTCAACTCTACTTTACAAGATAAGAAACATGACTTTGTATAGCTTCAAAATCAAACCTTCCATCTTCCGTGAGACATTTCAAAAGTTATGTAACTTTCGTACTTCAAGATCATAGCCAGTAAATGTATTGTGAGGCTCCTGGTAAAGCTATATATAGTAAAGCTATATATGGTAAAACTATATCCGGCTATATATGGTAAATAGCTATATATAGTAGATAGCTAAATTTGGTAAAATTATATATAGTAAACTATACCATATATATATCTAGTCCTTTTAGCCATAGTTGAAGTCTTCTGTACATTTGAAGATGTACTTTTCTATTATCTGTAATTCTTCTGTACATAGTTGAAGTCATCAATACAAAAAATCCTTTTAGCCATGGTTCTCCTTCCAATTTTCTCTATCCTATTATTTGTGATCTATGTACATACTTGAAGTCATCAATACAAAAAATCCTTTTAGCCATAGTTCTCCTTGCAATTTTCTCTATCCTATTATTTGTGTTCATCTAGATCGAGCGTGTGCGTTGTTGTGCGATCTTAGCAACTGGTATCAGAGCTAACGACTGATATCGATCCTAACAACTGGTATTAGAGCTAACGACTGATATCGATCCTAACAACTGGTATCAGAGCTAACGACTGATATCGATCCTAACAACTGGTATCAGAGCTAACGACTGATATCGATCCAAACATGTATCCTAAAAATAAATAAATAAATAAAATATTAAAACTTAAGATAAAACACCATAAATCTAAATTTTAATCATCCTTCTAAAGTTGTAACCATCTAAAGATAGATGAAGACTGCATTTGAAGTATCATGAAGCCCTTCAATTCTTCTGATGTGAAATTTATTGCATGTTGAGTTCAACTTTAATAGAACTTGATTTTATGTTGCAGTAATTTGAACAACATTCTTCGAGATGTTTTGGTTCATATGAAAGTTTTAATTAGTGATGACCATAGGGCGAGACAGAGGCAGGGAAGCTTTCCCCATCTCCATTCCTATAAAATTTGCCATTTATTTTGGTAGGGATCGGGGCGGGAATTTTCCATAGAGAATTCTCTAACTGTACGTCATCAATGTAAACCTTTAGTCATATTTCTATTGCACTTTTTCTCTCCTATTTTTTATGTTCATCTAGATCGAGTGTGTATTTTTCTCTTATATTCTTTATGTTCATATATATTGAGGGTGTGTTTTGTTTGCGATCCTAACAATTATTTATCATTTAAAAAAAAAAAAGTTTGGGTATTATAATTGCATTGATGTTCAAAAAAATTCAATGGCTCAAAAAATTCAATCAACTCGACCCAACATACACGATTTGGGTTGAGTTATGAACTTATTAGGATGGGTTGGTTCAATTAAATGAAAACTTTATGAAATGGGTTGATTCATGAGTTCTCCTAGAACTAGATTGGGTTAAACTCAACCAATCTTAATTTATTATTTTTTTCTTACAATACAATTATATATATATATATACACTTTTATTTTATTTTTATTAGTTTCATAACTATTTTATGTTATTTATTCTCCCATATTTCTTTATACTAATTTTCTTTTTTTAATATTTGGAAAGGTAATGTTTTAAAATATATATTTAAATTGAGTTTCAATTTTTAATTAAATGTTTGAAAATCATTAATTAAATGTTCTACGAACTAACATTTTACTGTTATTCAAATAAATAAAAAATTGCATAAATGACGCGAACCAATCCAAAAAAAAAATTAAAATTAGATTAATTAAGATTATTTAATAAGAGTTATTTGAGCTAAAAAGATATACGATCCGATTGAGTTGAATCTAAAATTGGTATAAAACTTGTAATAACATCCATTGTTAGGACTTGCAAAAAAGTGCTATAAAATGTTGACTATAACTATGTTTTTGTTAGCTATCGTGTTCATTATTATTTATTATTATTATTATTTATTTATTATTATTTTTTTTTTTTTGTAGTGAAGTGAACTATCGAAAATCCAAACCTACGAACACTTACAAGAGAAGAAATATGTTAATGAACCAAAAAGTGCTTTATTAAGGGACATAGTGAATGCCATTAGGTATTAATTTATCTTAGTGGGATATATTTGAGATCAATTTTAGAATAAATGTTTATAGTCAAAGTGATTTTGAGTATTGTATTTCTTTTTTGGTCAAATTCTTTAATTAATAAGTCATATTAAAAGTGAAAACATGATTATAAGTGTGTTTAAAATTTTTGTTCCCAAAAGTGATTTTTAATCAACAAATGATTAAAATTTTCGAGAAAATGAGTTAAATGAATGATATAAAAAAGTTTTAGAGTTAAAAAGTCAACCAGTGACAAAAATTTAAAGGAATAAACGAATTTAGAGAATAATTTAAGTAAAAATATATAGAGAAAAAAGAGATTTGAAAAATGATGACAAAAATCTGAGAGTGACAAAAATGTTCGAGAATAACACACCGTTTAAAGAGAGAGAGATTAATACAAAATGTATGTTTGTCATCTTGCCACGCCCGAGCTCATATCTCGATGAGGCCTAAAGATAGTAGAGAGTCAACATCATATCTCCCCTACAGTACATTTTAAGATATTTTTTATTGGATACTCATGTCCATCAAATGGTGAGGAGTTATAAACTGATATCGAGCATATGTGTGGTGTTATATTGACACCCGTTATGGCAAGCTTGTGTCGTACAATCATAAGAACTTAACTCTAGACCTGCTCATTCAAAATAACGTTGAAACTATAATTTTTAAAGTCATGGCTTGGAGTACATTTGAACCATTAAACTTGTCTACCACAATGTTAACGGCATGTAAAATTGAGATGAGATAAATTGTAAAGAATAGTATTTTAAAAAACTTTTGTCATAGATAAGATACAGAACAATTTTAAAAATTGGATGAAGCAAAATCTAAAAGCTACGTGAAATCACTTTTAAATCTTATTCCAAACGTGCTTTTTTTTCTAAATTCTTAGAGAATCAATTATACCAAAGAGTTTGAATTTTCTAACAAGCACTTTTATAATCTTCCAAAGCAATTATTTTTAGTTATTCCTAATTTCATAGATTTATCGATTACTTTCTCATCTTTAGGTTATTAGGCTCTGGCCTTAATTTTTGTGTTTTCAATTATTAAGGAATAAATAGGAGTCTACCCGAGTTTGATTGGAGAAATCTTTTGAACCAACTCGAAATCAGGTTGATGATTAGAGTAGCCCGAATAAAGTTTCTAACTCAACCCTCTCTTTATAGGTTGAGTTGGATTGAGTTGTAGATTTATTATTATTATTTTTAATTATTTTATAAAATTCTACATATTATGTTCGGTTGATAACTAAAATTTCATAAAACTAAGCATCTAACATTCACAAGTCACAATGCATCAATAATATTGATGGCAAAGTCAAATATTCTTAATCTTTGTAATAATCATAAAAGTAGGGTAAGATATGGTTGGGTTGTAACTCTCTTTTCGGATTACTTAGATTGACTTGATAAAAAGATATTAACTCACGAACCAACTCAAATTTTTGATTTTATAGGTTATTATGCTCGAGCCTTAATTTTGTGGTTTCAATTATTAAGAAATAGTAGGAGTCTACACGGGTTGAGTTGAAGAAATCTTTTGAAACCAACTCGAAATTAGGTTGATGAACCGAGAAACTCGAATAAAGTTCTCAACTCAACCCTCTATTTTCAGATTGGGTTGAATTGAGTTGTCGAGTTGTTAGTAGGAGTCTACACCGGTTAAAATGGAGAAATCTTTTGAAATCAACTCGCAATTAGGTAGGTAAACCGAGCAACTTGAATAAAGTTTTCAACCCAACCCTCTATTTTCAGATTGGGTTGGATTGAATGGTTGAGTCGTTCTTTAAATTTTTTTTTTTTTTTTATAAAGTTCTTTCATTAATAACTAAAATCTCATAAAATTAAAATATCTAACATTCTCAGTCACACCATGCATCAATAACATTGATCACAAAGTCAAATATTCTTAATCTTTATAATAATTTTAAAAGTAAGGTAAGATAAAGATGGAATGGGAGGTAACCTTATATTCGAGTTGCTATCGTTGACCTGGTTAAAAGGTGCTAACCCATAAATCAATCTAATTTTTTGATTTTTCAAAAGTTCAACTCAACTAAAATTGAAAATATATCTAATCAAATTTAATTTTTATAGTTAAGATTGGGTAGTCTGGGTGGTAGACTCCAATAGCACACGTGACTCAAAAGATTTAAACAAAGAATCAACCAAATGTGGGTATAAATATGATGAAGCATTGAGGCACCCATATGGATTGTGATATCATGACGAGTGATAAGCCTCATGCTGTGTGCATCCCAGTTCCACTTCTAAGTCATGTTATGGCAATGCTAAATGTTGCAAAACTTCTCCACCAAAGAGGCTTTTCCATAACATTTGTCATCACAGACTATGTTCATAAGCGCATAATCAAGTCAAGAGGCCCCAATTCTCTTGATGGCATTCTTAACTTTCAGTTCAAAACCATTGCCGATGGTATTATGGCGCAGGGCACTGATATTGAGGCACCACAGGACATGGCCTCTATTTGTATCGCCATTTCTAACAATTTCTTAGCTCCATTTCGTAGCCTACTTTCTCAACTCAATCATGAGGCTACTCCGCCAGTTAGTTGTATTGTTAGTGATGGTGGTTTGTCGTCGTTCACCATTAAAGCTGCCATGGAATTTAACATTCCTATTGCACACTTGTGGTCTGTTAGTCCTTGCAGCTTTCTGGGTTTTATGCATTTTGGTGATCTTGTCAAGCGAGGGGTGATTCCATTTAAAGGTATCAAATAAACTTATATATATATATTTTTAAAAGATTGTACCATATATGTTATTACGATTTATAGAGGTTTAACTATATTGTTAAACTTTGAGTATTATTTTTAAGTTACAATTTAGCCAGTGGTGTAATGTCTCATGCCTTTCATCAGAATTCGAAATCCGTATTTGACACCATATAATCTCGATATTGTTGAAGATGGTAAGGAATGATCATGGGTTTATAAGTAAGAAATACATCTCCATTGGTATGAGCATTTTGTGCAAGCCCATAGCAAAGCAATAGAGCTTAAGCTCAAAGTGGACAATATCATACCATTGTAGAGAGAATACTGATCCCGCAGACAAGTACAAATTATTTTAACATGTTTTGTTCTCACTTGTTTCCTAAGAAAATTCTTAAGAGATCACCAACGTGTAGGATTTCTCCAAACAAAGCATATTTAATTATGGAGTTCTTATGATTGAGTCGTCGAAAAGGAAAGTGTATCTTGTTGGTATAGGTAATAACATTTAGTTTTTTTAAGCTTTTCTTAGTCACATTCGAATGTGGTTTTTTGGTATGTGCATGTGTACCCCTCTTTTACTCTAAGTGATTATTATTGCATTGAAGTCACCCGCTTATTTTTTTCATTTCTTGTCTTTAGAACTACATACTAGAGTCTTTTAGATAGTCTTAATCAAACTATTTGTGGAGTGATTCGATTCAAGCGTCGCTCCTAATCTTGATCATCAAGGTAATTCATTTCAAAACTTTTGATTAAGTTGATTCTTCATCGTTTTTAGATTGATTCATGCAGATGAGAGCTATTTAAGCAATGACTATCTCAATACTACTATAGATTGGATTCCAGGGATGAAGAGTATAAGACTTAAAGATCTACCAAGTTTCATTCGAACAAGTAATCCAAATGATATCTTTTTAAAATATTTTATTGAGCAAACAAAGTGGACTCGAAAAGCTTCGGCTATTATATTGAACACTTTTGATGCACTAGATCATGAAGTTTTGGATGCTCTTTCTTCGATGCTTCCTCCAATTTATACTATTGGTCCACATCACTTACTTTCAAGGCAAATCAAGGACCAAAGTGAAGAAGCAATAGCTACAAATTATTGGGAAGATAATCATGAGTGCATCACATGGCTTGATTCCAAGGAACCCAACTCAGTTATTTACGTAAATTTTGGAAGCATAACTATAATGACATTTAACCAAATCACTGAGTTTGCATGGGGCCTTGCAAATAGCAAACAACCCTTTTTATGGATCATAAGGCCTGATCTTGTCAACAGCGATTCACCCATTTTATCCCATAGTTTTCTTGAAGAAACAAAGGGAATTGGGATGATAGCTAGCTGGTGTGCTCAAGAGGAGGTTCTAAAGCACCCATCAATAAAAGGGTTTTTAACTCATAATGGATGGAATTCAACACTTGAAAGCATATGTGGTGGAGTGCCAATGATATCATGGCCATACTTCGCCGATCAACCAACAACTTGTCTATATTGTTGTGAGAAATGGGGCATTGCATTGGAAATAGATAATGATGTGAAGAGAGATGGAGTTGAGAGTTGTATCAAAGAGCTTATGGAAGGAAAGAAAGGCGAAGACATGAAAGCCAAAGTTATGGAGTTGAAAAGAAAAGCTGAGGAATCATGTAGACATGGAGGCTCTTCTTACTTTAACTTGGACAAGCTAATAACCGACGTCCTATTATCGAAATGCTATGGTGAAGTGAAGTAGTCGAAGTCTTCCCTTTAGCCCAACAATAAAAACTTTTATTGAAATTCAATGTCGTTTTATTTTTAGTATTTAATGATTTAGACTTTGTAATTTATAACATTTGGAGTTCGTTTAATAATATTATGTTATTATGTAAATAGATGAGCCCATAAACGAGGTTGATAAGATGCAGCATATTGTGAAGATTAAGGTGAGAAGTATTTCTGAAGTAAACATAAGGTAACAAGTATATCATCTCTAACTAGAGAACCCTCCATTTATTTCTACATTTTAAAAGTTTGAAACTCTGATTTGAAGTGAGGCATCTCAATCATGTAATTGTTGTAAGTTATCCTGAAATGTATTTTCATTAACTCTCATTTAGTTCATAATCCTTGATTCATACTCTCATTTAATTTGGTTATTAATTCTTTATAACTATTTTGTTTCATATTCTCATTTATTTGGTTATTAATTCTTATTTTGGTTATTAATTCTCATTCATTTCATAACCATTTTGATTCATATTCTCATTTATTTGGTTCAGTATTGGTATGTCTATATAAGACTTCTCTTGTTGGAGACGTGGAGTCATTGTCATTTTGTATTTGCCTAAAGACAATTGGGAGGAATTTTGTTGAAAGATTTTGTAGTGTGAGAGGGTAAGAAATACACTTGTAAACACTTTGGTTATAGTGATTGGCTACCACCTGTGGATGTGGAGAAATTTCTTCTCTCCAAACTATATAAATCTTTGTGTCTCTTTGTTTAATTTCTGTTTGTGGATGTGTGAGTGCGATCTATCTTGCTTCTGCTTCCTCCACAACAATTGGGTATTGAAATATTTTGGTTGTGGTATTGCGACACAACAAGTGATATCAAAGTGCTAGGTTTATGACATTTGGGGTATTGTGAAAGACTTGACCTCATCGACCACTAGACGTGTTCACACTCACCATCAATTATCGAAGATAAGTTTCTCATTAGAAGTTTGCTTATTTTATTCTTGAAAATCATATTTTTCAAGAACTGTGATTATCTCCATCCATTTGGATTTTGTTGGCATTTGTTGCTCAATTTAATCTTGAACTTGCACAACTCAATATAAAAACTGCTTTCTGCAGAGAGATTTGGAAGAAGAAATATATATGACACACCCAATTGGTTTTCGAGTAGTTAGACAACAACATTTGCCATGCAGATTGAAAAAATCTTTGTATGGGCTATGGGTGATATTTGTTATTGAAAAACATATTTTCATGAATTGTGAATATCTTCATCCATTTGTTTTTGTTGACTTTAGTTGGTCAATTTAATTGTATGATGCACAACTTGATATGAAAAACGGTTTTTTTGTATGGTGATTTGGAAGAAGAAATATATATGACACATTTAGTTGATTTTCAAGCCGTTGGAAAACAACACTTGATATGTAGATCGAGGAAAACAACATTTGATATGTAGATTGAAGAAATCTTTGTGTAGGTTGTCGGTGATATTTGCTATTGGAAATCATATTTTCAAGAATTGTAATTGTCTCTATCTATTTATTATTATTATTATTATTATTTTGTGCTATTGTTGCTTAATTTAATTTTGAGCGTGCACAACTTGATATGAAAAGCGGTTCTCTTATATGGAGATTTAGAAGAAAAAATATATATGACACGGCCATTTTTTTTTTGGTAGTTGGCAACAACATTTGTTATGTAGATTGAAGAAATCTTTGATGGTGTGAGGTATGTCTCTAACAAAGATTTCTTAATTTGATTTCCGTTGGTGTTTTGGATATAAATTGTTATCGTATCACTTTGGAAGGGGGGAATTTGAAAGTAGCTCATGGAGCTTTGGTGGTAATTAGAGGGACTAGAAGAGGTAGCATACACTACTTCAATGGAACCACGCTAATGGGGCATGTTGCTATGGCAAGTTCAGAAGAACAAGATATATCGCAACTATGGCACATGTGACTCGGTATGCTAGTGATTTGGATAAGCGACCACCACTGCGGGTATGGTGGTGCGATAACTCCCCCCATAGCCACTTTTATTACTCCTCACAATCAATCTGCACTTGTGGCTCTCTAGTAATCATGATCGACGAGTGGGCCGCCTCCCTACTTAAGGCATCGACGACTACGTTCACTTTACATAGTGGTATAAAATGTCTATATCAAAATCATTTTGGGGAAGAAATACCAAATCTTTAGTGCAAAAACCCCTGTAGCTAACTTCAAGTCACGAGTGGGGTAATTTTGTTAATAATTTTTCAATTTTCGAGATGCATAGACAATGACCTTCTCATGCCACATCACACACCAATCCTTTATTGGAGGTGTCACTATAAATCACATAACCTCTTGATCATTTGGCACCGTGAGCACTAGGGCTGACACTAACCCGTGTTTATCTTGGAAGCTCCATCACAAGCTTTGGTCCACACAAACAAAACACCTAGAGTAAATACTATCCACACAGACCAACACAAGTTTTTGCAGCATGTTTTGTCCTCACTCAAATACATCCTAGAAAATTTTCCAAATGGTTACCCAACATATTATTACTCTAAGCAAAGCATGCCTAACTATAGAGTTCTTATATTCAACCACCGAAAAGAAAGATGCATTTTATTGGTATAGTTATAGTGACTTTTAATTCTTTTAAACTTTTCTTAGTCATCGTATATTCATGATCATTCTCATACAAACGTAGGATCGGTTCATTAATGTATCTCTCCTTTACTCAGATATCACGATTATTAAATTATTTTAAATTTCATACTAGTTAGTAACCATCCATAACTCAAGATTCTCAAAAAGCTAAGTCGTTATAACCAACATGTGGAGTTAATATACGAATTCAATCCAAAGATTAAAAAACAAATGTTAAAAGAGTTTACTTCCAAAAGAAGAAAATTAAGAAAATGTTTCTTGAAAACCAATCAAGCTTGCGGTTATTGAACTTTCCAAGGAATCCCACGAGAGTATTTCTTTCAATAGCTTAGAGTAATGATTTGAAACAAAACGTACACACCATTAAAAAAAATAAAAAACAAGTTCATAATATTGAAAGAGTTGTAAATATGTGATATTCCACATGGGTTGGGGAGGAGGAGAATGAAGTGGAAACCTTTCTCTAGTAGACACGAAATAAGAAAACCCACAAGGAAAAGCCCAAAAACCTTGAGGGGAAGTCTGAAATGGAAAGTTCAAAGAGGACAATATCTGGATGAGCATCGGTTCCGCTGTGTAACTCTGAAAGACGTGTTTTAAAGTCTGAGGGGAAGCCCGAAAGGAAAAATCCAAAGAAGATGATATCTACTAACGATGGATCTATGGATCTGAGTGGAGGACAATATCTACTAGCGATGGATTTGTGGATCTGGACAATTACAACACCATTAAAAAAAAAAAAAAACAAGTTCACAGGGTAGTAGCATGTCGTTACAACTACCCTAAAGAGTTCACATGGGGATTGCATCCAAACGTTAAAAAACAAATGTTAAAAGAGTTTACTTTGGAAATAAGAAATTTAAGAAAATGTTTCTTCAAAACCCATCAAGCTTTCGGTTAGAGTAATGATTTGAAATAAAACGTACACACCATAAAATAAAAACATGTTCATATTGTACGCCATGTTACGTTCATGCATCCACTTTGACCCTAAACCCTGGTGCTTCTAACATGTACGCCACATGCATCTCTTTTGACTTTTCAATTTTGCTTCTTTTGTTCATCAAATCTCATACATTATATAAACCCCATTTCCTTACACAAACATATCATAAACAAAATGACCAACTTTCCCTTTTCTCTTCTCTTTATAATTATCATCTTCTTCCCACCATCATTGGGTGCTCGTACCTATAATGTTGTCAGTTTTGGAGCTAAGCCTGATGGCCGAACGGTGTCCACTGCCCCTTTTCTCAAGACATGGGCGTCTGCTTGTAACTCAGCTGCACCTTCTTCCATTTATGTTCCTAAGGGAAGGTTCCTACTCAAAGGCATTGTGTTCAAAGGCCCTTGTAAGAACCAAATCACATTCCGAATAGATGGCACGCTTGTGGCTCCCTCTGATTATCGTGGCCTTGAAGATTCGGATTCTTGGATTTTGTTCTCTAAAGTTAACAAAGTTTCTGTCGTTGGCGGTACTCTTGATGCGCAGGGTGCTAGTTATTGGGCGTGCAAGAAATCGGGGAAGAATTGCCCTGTTGGAGCTCCGGTATGTTATGACTCTGATATCATGTTAGTTTTTTTTTCTTTTTTCATCCAGTGATGTTAGAAATCACCACTCCTCTACAATGATATGATATTGCCCATTTTGAGGATAAACTCTTATGGCTTTCCTTTGGGCTTTCCCAAAAGGTCTCATACCAATGGAGATGTATTCCTTACTTATAAACTCATATCATTCCTTAAATGTGGGATTCCCTCCCAACAATTCTCAAGAATCCTCCTCTCGAACAAAGTACTCAAAGTATACTATAGAGCCTCCCTTGAGGCCTATGAACTCTCCAGCAGTCTCCTCTTAATCGAGGCTCGACTCCTTCTCTAGAGTCCTCGAACAAAGTACAACCTTTGTTCGACACTTGAGTCACTTTTGACTACACTTTCAAGTCTCACAACTTTTTTGTTCGACATTTGAGAATTCTATTGACATAACTAAGTTAAGAGTATGACTCTGATATTATGTTAGGAATCACGACTCTCCACAATGGCATGAGGCCTTTTAGGGAAGCCCAAAACAAATCCATGAGGAGCTTATGCTCAAAGTGGACAATATCATATAATTGTGGAGAATCGTGATTCCTAACATAAAATATCTTTACTTTTAGTTTTGAAAGGAACTCGTACAAACCTTTTAATTGTATTTTATTAATTTAGCTAAAAATAAGCGGGTTACTAAAATGTTGTACGTAATACAGTCGATGACATTCAATTGGGCAAACAACATCGTGATCAATGGATTAACGTCAATCAATAGCCGACAAACTCATCTCGTAATCAATGGCTGCAAGAAGGTGCTTGTTCAAAATGTGAAGGCAATAGCGCCGGACCAAAGCCCCAACACAGATGGAATTCACGTTCAAACTTCTACGGATGTTACAATCACTAGCAGTACGCTACAAA